CCCCCCCCCACCCCCAACCAGGTAAGATATACAGTCAATGTCAGGTCAGGTTGGTGTCGTCTAAAGTTGACTGCTAAAACAAGGGACGTCACTGTGACTCGTCCTTGTAATCAACTTCTCTTTAAGTGGCCGACAAATGACCTCAGTAGACAGCTGTCTCATGACCCTCATCAGATACGCCATGATGATTTGTTTCGCCCTTTTTTTTTTTACCTTGCGCTCTGACCGACGAAGTGATGAGTGCAGAGAAGGGTAAAGGTCAGTGGTTGAATTTTGTGACCATGAATCACACCATATCAGATCAGCTATTTAGTTTTTATTATCATTGAAGATGATCAGCCAGACATGAATAAAACAATGAATTACCTGGCTATGAAGGAGGGGCCGGGGATGGGGTCAGATTTGGTCACGTTTGGGTGAATATATCGCTCCCTTAAGTCTGGGACTGGAAAGTAACACAATAATATTATCTCTAAAAGATTGTTAAAGCTTTCGCTACCTCTTCTGAGTGTGTTCAAGCTCTTTACCGAGATTATAAAGTGGTTAGAGCAGTGAAGGGTAATAGTGGAAGCTGTGAATTTTCTAATAATTTAGTGACTCAAAAGGAACTGTTGATTGTGTTCCTGGACATTTACTACTCCATGGCGTTTACGAATTACTTGTGGTCAGGGAAACATAAAAAAGCACGCAAGTTTAAATACAAAATCCCCCCCCCCCCCCCCCGGTCAGTAAAATAATTAAACAGCGAGTCTTTGCTGTGAAAATAGAGACAAATTTTTCTCATACCCTGATAAGGTGTCACATAAGTTTAACAGAGGAATGACTGCGGTTTCACAGTTCTTAGAATAAACCATCAAATTCTGAAAAAAGGTGTTCTTTGGACTTTGTAACCTCACGATCTTTCCCCCATAATCATAAAGATTCCACCTCAACGGTCACCTGTTAATGTCCCGTCAATGGCATGCACATTTTTCTAATTGAGTGCATTTATAGATCTTTGGATTGGGTGTGGGTTAGGGGCGGGGGTTGTTTTTGATTCTTGAACATCACAACTGAAACAAGTAGACAAGACAAGCCACAAAGAGCCACATCTGAATTATGAGACGAACAGATTGATGTACGAGTGACTGAATGTTTTCTTTTTATTTCGTTACCTCAGTTGGAATCATGCTGGAGTATGGAGCATGGAGCGAGGAAGTTCAAGTCTCCCACTGAGCATTCTTGAACTCACGTCGTTTAGTGGAGTCTTTAAGGATATCAACCCATTTGATTTGGTTCCTTCGGAGATGGACGTTAAATTCGGAGGTTTCGTCTCTTAAATAGTCTGACAGATTGAAAAGAACGTTAAACCCATATATTATGTTACACCTGCTACGGTATGGAGCCCGCTATGACTAACAATAAATCAATGATGTTACAGGCAACACCCATACCGTACCTGTCAATAACATCGACTGCTTGATATGTTTACAGACAGAGCTGATCACAAGCAAAGGTTTCCCTTGCGAGAACCATTATGTACCCACAGAGGATGGCTATATCCTGAACATACTGAGAATCCCGCAAGGAAGGAAAAATTCGGAAAAATCCTCAGGTTTGATTTTTTCTTCTTTTTTTCAACCGCTCATTTAGACCTGATGTTCTCTTGATCTGAGTCGTCAATAACAGCTGCTATGCCGTCATATCATTCGACGTTGAAAAATGTTTATGTCTATTTAGATGTATATTTATTTGCAAAGCATTATCAGTGTGGAATAAGAGATTGTGTTTGTAACTACCTTTCAGTACACTTTAGGTTTGTTTGTTTGAGTAAATCAAATAGAAGCACACCGACACAGTAATGGTCATTTAGTGCGTCGAAAAAGAAAGACAGACAGAAACCACAGAGGGAAAGTAAAAAAGTAGGAACTACATGTGGCGCCCTCCTAAGACGCGCAATGATTTATATTCACATCGACTTACTTTACTTTACTTTTCCGATCCAGCGGCCATTTGGGTTCTAGCCCTTCGGTCTGTCGATATGGCAAAGAATTGACAGGTTCTAATCAGCTGTACTTTGTCGCTGTATAGAGTGTTTCCGATGTCTGGGGAGGCAGGTAGGTAGGTGCTACGCAGGTCACAAAGTGCTGGGCAGTTAAAGAGGTGGTGTGGTACTGTTTCATCCTGGCAGTCGCACAACGGGCAGTCGGGTGGGGTATCCTTGCGGATCCTATTAAGGTAGGAATTTAGTGGTATGTGTTGTGTTCGCAGGCGAAATAATATTCACATCGACAACTTTAGTTTGTTTAGAAGGTGGGTTGCTCCGACCTTGTCTGTCTGGACCAGTCAGTGCTGACTGGGATACCGTATACGACATCTGAACTGAAAGACTGAGATGCTCGTGAAAACAATAGTTTTATCATTTTTCCTGGATTCGAACTCAGATTTTCTTCACGCGAGGCGTAGGGGTTGACCATTATGCCATATAATGCTATTACACCTATGCAATAACGACTGAGAAGGAAAATCCAACCTTCCCACTTGGACAAGACCCAATATTTGCGGTGGGTATGGTGCTAAGTTTTCCTAATAATCAGCTTCAAATATGGCGTGTAACCCTTTTCTATCACATGTTAATACTCGTTTTTTTGATGCATTTGATAATAAACTGAACTGGGGGATATCGCCACAAAAGCAGCCAATGATTAGGTGAAACAAAAGAGCAAGATAAATTGACAGAAACAAAAAGAGAGGAAAGACATAGAACTTGCCAGTAACACCATTCAACAAACTCCATATCTAATTAATGTTTCTATAATGTCTTCGTGACTTCGTACACATATATATGAATGTGCCCCTAGAAGTGTTTTATAAGAGTGTCACTTTTCTATTGAGACATTTTGAAGGGGACAGAAAATCCAGCCTCCATTTTATATTTCTGGACAGCGTCCCGACCTGTGGTGGTTCTACAGCACGGTCTCCTGGGCAGCTGCACCAATTTCCTGACCAACCCGGTCAACGAGAGCCTGGCATACCTGCTGGCAGACGCCGGGGCTGACGTCTGGTTGGGTAACAGTCGCGGCAACATCTACTCTACCAACCACACACATCTAAGCCCCAACACAAGGGAGTTCTGGAACTTTAGGTCTGATCTTTGTGCAGTCTTTGAAAGTATTTATAGGGTAGAAGAAGTCCTCGAAGGGAGTGAAGAGGTGGGAGGGACATTTAAGAAGGGGCTCCTAGTCTTTGATACTAATTGTTTCTTCCAGGCGCAGCAAAATTGCCCCCGGCTATAGCTGAAGATGTTTCCGATTTTAAAAAAAAAGAAATAAAGGTACGATAAGAACACAGACACAAGCATAGTCATGTTAGATTTTTGAAAGCTCCGATACGCAGAATTATAATTTGATTAATTTGAAGCAAAAAGTGGCCTTGTTCAAGGAGAGAGAGAGAGAGAGAGAGAGAGAGAGAGAGAGAGAGAGAGAGAGAGAGAGAGAGACAG